TGCAAAACAGACGCGAGATCGGTTTCTGATCCCTCAATATGAAATTTGTGCTTGGTTTCTTCTACTTTTCTTGCCTGGTGTTCCTGTTCTCTCTTCTGCCTCTGGTAATCTTCTTTCTTCTTCATTTCTACGTCTAATGCAGCTCGCAACTGTCTGATTGTGTCATCCATTATTTCCTCTGTCAGTTGAGGTTCTTCCTTCCTCTCACTTCCTTCTCCTTTCTCTTCTTCCTTGGCCACATCACCAGATATCTTCGCCAACTGCTCAGCAACGAATTGATTGAGGGCCATTCTTCCCCGATCAACCATTTGTTGCACTCTCCCGCTGGTTTCCAGCATCTGAACGGCAGTGTCTCCCCTTGTAATTTTGTCTTCTGCCGCACACAGATCGAACTGGCTGCGAAAATGTCGCTCAGCTTTTGTCCCAGCGTCATGCAATTCAGTAAGCAGTTGGTGAAGACGGCCCAACATCTGTTGCCGTCTTCCTTCAACTTGACCACGGGTTCACATTTCTCCACCTTCCTCGTCAGCGAAGAAGGTAATCGAGATAGGGAAGAAGAAGAGAGGAATGAATCGAGTAAGGATGGATGCACGCAAGCAATCCCAGAGGTAAGTCATTTTTCCCAGCGTGTGTTTGCTGCACAATAGACTTTAAACGACAATTGTAAATTCCATGGCCACACTTCAAATTCTGATCTCTATGGCAAGAAGTAAGAAAACAACAACAAGAAAAAATCAATGGGAAGAAGTAAGAAAACAACAACAAGAAAAAATCAATGGGAAAAGAATCTATATTTTTCTATATCTAATTCTGCTGATTACTCTTCTGATGATGTTTCCCTAGAGTCTGTGCACAGGTTCCGCAGCCACGGCCAGTGTGATCACGACAACAACACAATGGTGAGTTTGCATCATCCATAAGACAACCCACGACAAGTGAGTAGACAAGTGAGTATCAACAACAGATCAGCACACAGCAATCAACAATGACAAGTGAGTATCAACAACAGATCAGCACACAGCAATCAACAATGTGTTAGTTGAACCTCTTCTCATTGTCCACACACAGATGTCTGTATGACCAGGCACAAGTTCTGACGAGTGGCACTACAGCATAATCTAGCGCTGTACCACCTGTCAGACACACAAATGCAAGTAACTGTTCCCACCAGTCTTCAGCAGATGGCAGCGTAGGTCGGATCTGCCACATGCCATTCTCCAAGCAGGCCAAAATGACACATCAGCGAGAGTGGTGCCGCGTCAGCATCAATGGCCAGCAGGCCGTTGTGAATGGAGATACTTCGTTGCCACATAAGCAGTAAGGAAGCACCAATCCGTATGTGATCACTTGGTTGTCACTTCAAAATGCCACATCAATCTGGTGCGCAGCTGCGAGTTAAGAGTCATCACGTCAGCAGGTAGGTCGCGACACCTCAGTGCCACGTCAGACAGTACTTCCCGCTGCTTCTTCATCGGATGCCACGTCAGCACACGGCGCAATGACACATCAGCACCACAACGCGATGCCACGTCGACAAGCGCTCGCCAGTCTTCCGACGCCATGTCAGCTGCCCGCTCTCTCTCTCTCTCTCTCTCTCTCTCTCTCTCTCTCTCTCTCTCTCTCTCTCTCTCTCTCTCTCNCTCTCTCTCTCTCTCTCTCTCTCTCTCTCTCTCTCTCTCTCTCTCTCTCTCTCTCTCGTCTGCTTCCCCCAACACCACATCAGCGCCACGTTGCCAACGTATGCGAGGTCCACGTCGTTGTCATCATCATCATCATCATCATCATCATCATCATCATCAGATTCATCAGATTCATGTGCTAGCGAGGATAAGATCCGACGCGCGGATCAATCAGGCGCATAGTAACCAGACGGGTGCGCGCGAATAATCGTGCAATAATCAGCCAGGTGCGCGCGTGTTCATAAACACAATATACCAGGGCGCGCGGATACAATACTGCGGCACGATACCGCGATCATCAGCAGGTAGCGACGGATGGAGGTATTGCTCCGATACCAAATTGCAATGAACCCAGTCAGGAGAGAAGCTCGTCAATGTCAAGATGCAGTGTGTCTCAGCGCAAATACAGTGTCTCCAAAAATCGTACAAGTAATCAGCTAGCTCAATGTCACGTCACCAGTGAAGAAGATGAGAGGAGGGAGAGGACACTTAGAAGGTGGAAGAGAAAGTAACCATCAGCTTAGCAGATAGGTCTCCTGACTGGGTTCATTACACTACAGGTCTACTTAGCTTCTGCACCCGATCCTGTAAGTGCAGTCTCTCAACACAAGAATGACTTTTATAACTTCGTGTTGACCTAATGAGACTAACATCGGCTAAGGCTCCTGCTTTATGGCCATCTACGTCTACCTCGGCCAAGATCAACTCTCCTTGTAGACATTTTGGCATTTTGCTACCTAGGATGCTAGCAAATCACACTAGGCTCTCAAAAGCACAAAATCACAAAAGGAGCGCCCAGGTCAAGTCCTTTTACGAGGACTCAAATCTGATCGCTCATTTTGCGATTTTGAGGGCCTAGTGTGAGTATGCCCTAATAGATTTTCGGGAATAGTTATAATACTTCCCCGCGACGAAATCTTTGTATTCATTTCCCCCCAAACAGGGCAAAAAGTATCGCAGGCCCTAAAATGACTATTTGTGTCATTTTTGCACCCTGGCTGGGCCGGAAATGGCAGGAAAGTGTTTTACAGGGTGCAAAAATTAAGCCAAAAGTCAATTCATTTGTGTCCTTTTTGCACCCTGGCTGGGCCGGAAATGGCAGGAAAGTGTTTTACGGGGTGCAAAAATTAAGCCAGAAGTCAATTTATTTGTGTCCTTTTTGCACCCTGGCTGGGCCGGAAATGGTAGGAAAGTGTTTTACAGGGTGCAAAAATTACGCCAAAATTCATTTTGGGGCTTGCATAATCTTTTGTGTCCCGTTTGGGGGGAAATGAATACAAAGGTTTTGTCGCGGGGGGAGGGGGGGTTATAACTTTTCCCTAGATTTTCCAGTGAAGCTGCTGCTTCTAATTCAGTCGCGTTCTTAGAGCGTAGCATCTCCTGGGAAGACTATTACTGAGGGGTAATAGAAGGATCAATAGCTAGAGCCGTGTGTGTCTGAGAGGTCGAGGGAGAACTTCCTACCGTTTTCACTCTAACAGAACGCCCAGTCGTTATAGCTGTATTTGGCACAACTTTCGGTTCAAATGCAGCGATAATGAGTGGGCGTTCTACCCGGGTCAAGACGGTAGCCCAGGGACTAACTTTGCTAACACTCTAGACTTGGTAGAGGAGGAGAAGACCTCTTCTAGCTCGTCTGGTTTCCCTGTACGTTCTCTGGGCACCAGTACTTGATGTGACCGGTCTCACCGTACTTCATGCACTTTGTCCCGTATTGTTTATCATATCAGACACTCCTTGATGACCCTTCCATGACCCCTCTTGGCACAAATTTGAGCTTCTTCTTTCGGCCCTTTGCTGCTTCCTTGGAAGCAGGTTCCTTAGCCTTTCACACAGAAGTAACCCCTCCATCGTTACTAGGTTCACCGTGGACTCGATGCTTCGTTTGATCCAGGTTGGGAGGAAAGTTGATGTCCTCCTGATTGCCCTCGTCATCGGCCTACACGCCGTACAGGAGGTGGCCTTTCTTCTCCTAATCTTAGGGCGGTCTCCTCTTGCTCCATTTTTCTTGTTCTCCCTCTGGACACACTTGCAATTCTTAGCTTCACCTCTAGATTAAGGGCCTTGCTGCTAAGTGATGCAATGCCATTTGACGAACTGCTGGCCTAACTAGCTAGCGGATCCCTGATGTTCTCTGGAAAGTGGTCGCAGGTAACTTATCAAGAGTATCTCGAGGTCATATCTGACCCATGGGACCTTGATGACGTGCTCTACTCTCTTTGTAACCACCCAGACGTCGTTGTACGCGCAAGCCTCCAGCATGCAGAGCTCGTCGGTTGCTGTTTGTGCTGTTGTCTAGTGGTTGAAACGTTTCGTGACAAGTCTCAGAAAATCTTCCGGAGTCTTGATCCTAGCCCAAGCGTCAAAGTTCCTCCCAAAGCCAGGCTACTGCGGTTCATCTCCATCCGTGAACGCCGATCGCTGGTAAAAGCAGTCACTAGGAATGATTTATCGTGAAACAGAGTGGAACAACAAAGAATGGTGTGTGTGTGTGTGTGTGTGTGTGTGTGTG